GCCCGAGTGACCCCAGCAGCAGCCATTCCTGCATCTGCCTTAGCCCATCTGCTGTCAGGACCATCTGTGTAGGCTGTACCCTGCCTGCTTCGGGTCCTCCACCTGCTCAACGTCAATGCCCTGTACCCCTGCCAAGCAGAAATCACAGTCCAACGAGACAGGCTTGGCAAGGAAGCTTAGGACCTCTCAAGGCTGGGGATGAGCTTCCTGGGGGTGGCTGGAGCTGGCATCCTTCCTGCTCAGTACGGGACACAGACATGTGGGCAGGGTATCCCTCAAGCTCAGCAGCCTTCACTCATCCTGGGAGCTAGAGTTTCCACCCCTTGGCAATTACAGACACATCAGATCAGGTGAGCAGGTCCCTGTGGCCACAGGCACTGGTTTGGGCTGAGCCCCAGCGGTACACATGTCCCTCCAGAAGAGGAAAGTGCAGCCCCAGCCTCAAGATGTTCACAAGCTACAGGAAGCTCTTGTGACCCATATGACACAAGCAGACCCATTTTCCAAGCACAGATGGCTCAAGCACAGGTCTGAGGTCCCTGTTCACCAGGGTATCTCTCCTGTGAGCCCCTACTCACCCCTGTCCTGAGCTGGGGTTAGATGCCCCTTGTGCCTTGATGGGGCAGGCAGGGGATGCCAGAGTACCTGCTCCCTGTGTCCCAGGGCTGCATGCCCACAACAGCATCCTGCCAGGGTCCCTCCTTGTCCTGAAGCTCTGCCTCTCTCCTCTGGGCTTTGGCTTCCCACACGCTGGAGCCACGCCCTCCCTCCTGGTGAGACAGGACCCAGATAACACTCTCTACACAGACCTTCCCTTTGCAGCTGGACTCCTCTGCTCCACCAGCATGTGTCCCACATCCATTTGGGCAAACCCCTTAGACACATCCCCTTAGAGCAGCACCCCTGTTTTACAGACACCCCCACTGCAGCCCAAATGCAACTCCTAAATTAGGATCGGACATTTTGGTAGCAGGCTTGAACATCTCCATACCCAGCCAAGCCCATCTCCATCTTAAAGCCAGAGTCCTCATTACCAGCCCAGGTCCTCTCCACTCAAGACACAGAGCACCCTGGACATCATCCACCACCCACAGGGGTTCTGGATGGGGCATTTTTAGGTCTCATGAAACACGAGTCATGCTTAGCTGCCTCCTGCAGCCAGCTCCATGTCACTGCCTTTGCCTGCCTCGCTCTGTGCTGCTTGCCAGCAGCTGGGGACCACGATCTGCTTGCCATGTGGGAGAGTAACTGTGAGGGTCACAGTGACATGCCATGCTGCAGCCAGCACAGGAGGGGTACTCCGCAGACCCTTACCTCACAGCTGCTGTCACCCACCCAGTGTGCTGGCCTGTCCTCCCCTCCCCGCCCCGCAGCTGGCGCAGCACTGCCATGTGCCTGGGGAACACCACAAGCTGTAGGGTTGGCACCCCAGTGTGCATCCCCACAGCCTCTTCAGCGGTGGCACCGTACAGCAAGAACAGCCCAGCCATGCCCTGTCCCAGTTATCTCCATCCTGGAGCTCACAGATTCAGCAACACCCTGACCTCCTCTCCAAGCTGCTTTGGTCTGTGTTGGTGGCAGCACAAGCATCAACATTTACTGTCAGCTCATCCTGGGACACTGTTTAGGAGACTATTTAGGATTACAGGGGCAGCTGGCGGGCTCCCAGCCTCTAACCCTTGCTTTGCTGTTCACTGTCAGATGATGCAGCCCCCACCCTCAGTTCCCCATACACAACCTGTTTCCTTGCTCAGGAGGTCCCACACTGCCCTTCAGCCATCCCATACCCAAGCAGCCACCTCCCTGCTCCCTTTTTGGGAGGAAGAAAGTGTTTCTCAGGCCCCTGCTGGCTTCCTCCCCACCAGCTCCTGAGGAAACAGCCACCAACCTTTGTGTTTACCCAACCCAAGGCCCCTCTCAAACCCAGCTCCTGAGCAGGACTCACCACAGATGGCAGCTCCTGATGTTCCTCACAGCCTCATCTCACAATGCTCCATAGCCCATTCTGCTTCACCACAGGGGACAACCATCCATCAGCCAACAGTCCCCCAGGTCAGCTCCCAGCATCAGTGCCCAGCACACCCTGTTGCATCCCACATGGCACCCTCCCAGCAGCACAGATGCAATCCCAGACCTGGTAACCCATGGTCACAGTTTCCTGATACACACCTTACAGACCAGGGAAGGGCACATGGATGCTGCATTGCCTGCAGCCCTTGTCTCAGCTACAAGAGGTCCTGGCCATGCTCCCATCAGAAATATTTCTCCTGCCACCAAACTCCTTGAGCACCTCTGACACCCCAACCACACCCCAGCACATACAACCTCAGCCTGGAGAGCCGAAACCCAGCAGTTTGCCATCAATACCCACAGATCCAGCTTTTCCCAATCCTGCATTAGCAGTGTAATTAGAGAAACCTGCAAAGTAGTTAGAGGGTTAGCCCAGGGAGTCCCCTTGACTTTACAAGGCAGTTGAGGATACGGTGGGGCTGAGGGAGCCTTCTCAGCTGCTTCCTCTGCATGGTGGTCCTGTCCTGAGCGGGTTCACTGCATTGGCGGTGCCCCTGCAAGCTGGGAGATGCCCACAACCTCTCCCCCTGTGCCCACCCCCGTGGCAGGGGGGAGGCTGGAGGGTGCAGAGCTGCTGGCTCAGCTGGCTGGGAGGAGCAGGACAGCTGGGAGAGCAGCGGAGCAGGCCTGTCATGGAATATGTGTGACCTTTGGAGGTGTAAGCCAATATAGAGGGGTGCCGTCGCAAGCACCTTCACCCCTCCATTACACGGCAGCCCTCCATTTTGTCTCCCTCCCCATTGGCTCCTCTTGCGTGCACCAGCCAGCGTAATCCAAGGAGCCCCTCTGCTCCCCGCAGCTCGCAGAAACACCCGCGTAGATGAGTGTCACCTGCCCCGGGGAGCTGCGACTGCCACTGTCAACCTAAGACTCTGAATTGTTGGGGTGCATCCCAGAAAATTTGCCCCACATCCTCTGTTACAGTGTGTTTAAGCCTGGCAGGTGCCATCTCCTTTTCCCTGCCTGCCACCCTCCCGCGTCTCTGCTCTGCCATCCCACACAGGTGCGTGCACGCTCCAGCTGGGTCCGCCTGTGTGCTTGGGCACAGCGGGGCCACCCTGTAGGGACTGTCCCTAGCTCAGGGGTGAGGGACTCTCCCAGTCTGGTAATGGGAAGCTTGCTGTGAAGTCATGCCTCTTTGTGGTGGCCTTAATTACGGTGTATGTGCTGATTACCATGCCTGTATAGGGAATGACCTTCCAGTTGCCATCACCAGCCACCCTAGGGCTGGATACAGGTAACCACACCACTGGGGTAGTCAGGACACTTGTCGGGGTTGGTTGCTGTCCTAACCACGGCTTGTTAGGCTCTGTTTGCTTGGTGAATGTTGCTGGGGAAGGAAATAACTCCACTAAGGAGGGTTGGGGCGCTGTCTCAGACACAGCAGCTTTCCTGGGGCTTCTCCCCCAAGCCACATCCCCGGTGTGCAGGGCAGACTGGGGTTTAGTGCTTGTCCTGGTAGCTGCGGGTCTCGTTACTCACGGACTGTAACTCCTTTTCTCCTGCTGGGAATGTGGCCGTCGCTGGCTTTTCCTGCCCATGAGAAGGCCAGGGCCAGTCTTCAGCTCCCTCCTCGGCCTGGGCCAGACCCAGGCAGCTGCGTCCCTCCTTCAACTCACGGTACCTTTTCTCTCTCCCCGTGTCCCCTGCTAACAGCTTACCCTGGACGCACCCTGGGCTCTTCCGCCACAGGTTGGTATCGCTGCCTGCTACCTGCATGCTGCCAGCGCTGCCTAAGCTCTTCGCTGGCCTCTGGCTTTCCTATTAACCTGCCCCAACAGGGCCACACTTCCCAGGCGCTGAGCAAACCCCGGTTATTGGCAGGCATCCCATGGCACTCACTGGAGCCGGTGTCCCCAGCCCTACCAGAGCTCAGCACATGTGTCACTGCATTTGTCTGTCCCAGGGCTGACTCTGTGCATCCCCACCACTCAAGCTTTCACACCTTCCCCTCTTGGGTTAAGACTCAAGAGGTTGTGTATTCTTCTAGCGATGATTCAAAGGCATTTGTGGTGGACCTGTGGGTCGATCTCCCACCCAAGGCATGAACCGGAGGAGCCCAGCAGATAGCCCACCCTGCAGGGAAGCTCTTCCTACCCTTCACCCTCCTACGTGCAGCAACTTTCCCGAATGTTCACCCTTGATCCCTCCCAGCTGCAGCTTAAGCCAATGAGCTGGCAGCAGCTGTCCCAGTAACACAGGCTGGCCCCTGCGCAGTGGCCTCAGCCCCCTCGGGAGCCAGAGCTGGCTCCTCTCCCTGCTTATCCTGCTTGGGGTGTGCTGCCAGGTCCCTCCTGGAGAAGCAGGAGATGGGAGATGGGCCAAGAAGCACCAGCCAACAGCCAGACCTTCCCCTGGGTCCAGTGCTGGGCCATGGGGACAATGTCCCTGCTGCGATATGAGGCAGGGAAATCCCATCTTCTGGTCCTCATGTCCTACCCCACGGCCCCTGCTGCTGGATCCTTCCAAAACAGGCTCCTCCACACCCTGGCCCCAGATGCGGCAGAGCCCTGCCAGTGCCTGGAGGGCCTCTGGCTCCCTGTCATGCCAGCATGCCGGCAGCAGAGAGGGTTGTAGATATATATAGCATATTTCGATAGCTGTCTTATCTGCATCTCTAGCTGCAGGCGCACACATGCGTGTGCGCGTGCTGCTTGTGTGGGCGTACGCATGCAGGGAGCACGACGCAGAGGCAGGCACAGGCGGTCTGCAGCCACATGTGGCTTGTCCCTCCATTTGCTGGCACATGTGTTGCGTGGGTACTCATGACTTTTTGCGAGCAAGCTGGCCAGCCCTCCAAGGGCTGCCAGGCAGTGCATCCATGCTGTAGGCAGAGTGGCTGGTGGTGTCTGAGGTACAGGGATGGGGTGGCAGCGTGGGTGATGTTGGGAGAGTGTCCTCAGGTGTTTTAGCCTTCCCAGGACGTTTGAGGACAGAGCAAGACCTTTGTGCCTGTGGCTGTCTGAACAAGGAGAGGAAGGAGGTTTTGCCGTGTCGTCCACTTTGCCTAGCATCCTCGGGACAGACTTGCACAACGGGGGGTGAGCTGACACCAGGCACTTCTGCTGAGCTTGAGTAAAGGGGAGAAGATGGGGCCCAGGGTTAATCCCAGCCTCAGAGCAGCAGTGCTCCCACCCAAGGGCAGCCTGGCATTGCAAGCAACATGGAAAAACCTCCCAGAAAACCACTGCTCTAGGATAAAAACCCTTTTGGGGCATCCAAATTGCTCCTACCCCCAGAGCCGGACAGTCCAATACAAATGCAGGCTCTGAGGAGGGAGACATGACCCTCCTGGCCTTGTTTGCCAGGTGCTTTGCCGGATCACAACATTGCTCTTTACCCTGCAAACCTGGCAGCTTAGCGAAGTTGTGTTTTAAGCCGCTGTGTTTTAAGCAGGACCACAGACAAAGGGGTGCAAGGTTTGAGGACCCCCCTGCTCACAGGCAGGGCCTGATCATGCACCAGCATGCGACCACTTCTGCAAATGCCACCAGGACGTGCCTGGCTTGAGCCCGGATAAGCTTGGGAGTGCGGCAGGCTGGGCTGGGAGCAAGCAGCCACAGGGTGGCTGGAGAGAGCCACCGTGATGGAGCTGCTGCCATCCCTGTCTGGCAGCCGGCAAGGGCTGGGTCTTTTTGTCCCTGGCCGGACCATCAAGGTGGCCCAAATCGGTGCTGAACAGACATAGAGGGGGGACATAGCAGGACAGATGTCAGCTCAGCACCCTCCTGGATGGGAGATGCTCTCTGCTCCCCCAGTCCCATGCCCTGGGCAACAGCAAGGAGGACTCATGCATGGCCTCACATCCTCGGAGCTGCTGTGCTGCCTGGAGAGCTGCAAGGATGCTGTGCCTGGTGCTGCCCACGAAGCCTGTGGGGTGCCAGCATCCTGTTCCCAAAGCAAGGGGTAGACATGGGCTCAATGGGCTGTCAGTGACCCGGCAGGGGGGCTGCCTCCATCACTGCCTGCCTCGGCACAGTGGGGCAGAGGTGGGGACATGAAGCAGAGCTGGGGCGTGCGGGCTGCCTGTGTTCACACAGCCACACCTGGCCAGAAACGTGTTATGAAAGAGCACGTGGGGACCTGCCTCAAACGTCTGGCACGACATCACAGGGGATAATAATAATAATAATCTGAAACCGAATTAAAGCCGGCGATAGAGTGGCACAGAGGAATGATTAATAATGAAAGTTCAAGGTTTCAACATTTGTTTTTGTCCCGCATGAGAAGACATCATTGGATCCCTGCGGCTTGCAGGCAGGGAGCAGAGAGCTGGCAGGGAGCGGGCAGTGGGCAAGGCCATCCCCCAGTTTGGATGTGGATGCCCTGCTTTGGGGAGGAGGGTTGAGCTGCATGGACACAGCTGTGCCCCATGGAGAGATGTCCCCAGCCCATTCCCTTCCCCAGCGGTGACATGGTTGCCCTGCAATGGGCAACAGGCAGGAGGAGGCTGGCATGCCCTGCCCAACTCCTGCACCCATGGTCAGATGGGTTTGGTGCGGAGCCACCATGCAGTGCCCTCCAGCACCCTCAGGAGCAGGAGCTCAGTGCCATGTGGTCTTTACAGCTCCCCCACCTTGGAGATGGATCCCTGGCTTGCTGGAAAGCTGCTGGCTCCTGCGTGGGCAGCAGCCACGGAGCAGCAGGGTCTTTCAGCTGCCACAGGGAAAACAGCTCTGCCTTAAGAGTGGGGCCAAAGGGAGGGTACCGAGGGCAGCGCAGGTCCCCTGGCACCTCCTCACCCTGGGCCACGGGGGAGGCTCAGCTCTGGCTGAGGGACAGCAGCTTCCAGCTCCTTCAGTGGCATCCAGCCCCTCCTCTGGCTGGAGTCCTGCCAGCAGCAGCGGGATGGACCCTCTCCCACCCTGAGTGCAGGACTGGGATGGGGGAAGTGAGCAAGCCCCTGCTGCTGAGGATGGGGGGAAGCGAGCCCCTGCTGCCAAGCACATCCCCACCTGGAGCAGACGCCCGGGGTGCTGTGGTGTGTTGACCCCATGGCAGGGTGGCTGCAGCTTGCTCTGCGCTCTGCTGTCTGCCACCACAACTCTCCCAGCATCGTTTCCTGCCTGGGTTCATCTGGCTAGATCAGTGCTGGTACACGAACGGGAACGGGGAAGGTTCCCACCAACGGGAACTCAATCATCCAGTTTTTACTTCCATTTCTGGGCTGACATGGGCTTGAGTCAACTAGCAGCGTCCCAGCCATCCTGGGCATGACAGGGGCTCCTCTGGCTCTGCCGGCTGCCTGCCCAGGGGCCTGGGGCCTGGGGAGGTCGAGCAGTGTGGGCACAGGCTGATTGCACAAGTCCCACTCAAGCAGGGATTGCTCCTAGGGCAGCAGCTATGTGTGTCCAGGGACCTCTGAGCTCCCAGACTGATTGTGTGGCATCAGGACAGGTCCTTATGGGACCATCACCAGCCTCCTTGAGACCCTTAGCAAACTGCGGGACTTGAAGAGTGCAGGATGGGGACTGTTCATTCTTCTTCTTCTTCTGCCTTTCCCCAAGCCCAAAGCGGGGCTGTTTGCCCAGCCTGCCCTCCCCACACTGGGCTGGAGCCTTGCACCCAATCCACACATAGGCAGGGACCCTCTGCTTGACCAGAGGGCTGGGAACCACAAACTGGGGGCAGATCCCTGTGAGGGTGTGGTGGAAATGCAATGCAGGCAGCTGGCCTAAGGCTCGCACTACACTTACCAAGCACTGCACCATAGCGTTGCTCCTTAAACCACATCAGCTCCCTTTGCCCAAGGCATTCACCTGGTTGCAGCATGGCCACCTCTTTCGCATGTCCCGTGCTTTGCGGCAGCTGCCTTCAAACAACACTCCATCCACAGCCAGCGCCAAACTCACTTTGGCTAAACCAGAACTGAACCGAGACAAGGTTTAAAAGACCTTCAAGTCCTCCCATAGTCTAAGAAAGACCAAACCTCAGAGAAGGCCAGACAAGGTTTGCTCTTGCTGCAGTGAGGTAGGGTCTCCTGCAGAGCATGGTGACGTCCCGCTCTTGCAGACACCAGGGCCCGTCGCTGGGCGATGCCTTGGCTCGTGAATGGCTGGCGGCCCCAAAAGGGTGGCTGTTTCCCCAGCAGCATCACCGCACCGCTCAGATGGGATGCTCGTTACAGCCGGGAGTTAATCGTGCGGCGGCAATGGCTATTGTTTCTTCACTTCCTCTTGTTATTTCCCCTCTCCGCAGATGGGGAGATCACTTCCAAGCCAATGGTGCTATTCCTGGGACCGTGGAGCGTCGGCAAATCCTCCATGATAAACTACCTCCTTGGGCTGGATGACACTCCCTACCAGCTCTACACAGGTACCACACCGCTCCCTCCCTGCTCTGCTGAGGACGTGCTGGCACCTGCATTTCTGCGTCTGGGCGGTCAGCAATTCCTGGCCATATCTCCAATTTCCCCCTCATTACGGCAGGGAGGTTGTGATCAGGGTCCATGCTGCCTGGCTGTGGCGCCACATGGAAGGAGAGGTTCCCCACCACAGTCCAGGGCCTGTCAACCCTCCCTGGGGAGGAGGAGGGCATCTTACCCCACAGCATCCCCATCCTGCAGCACAGGGCTCACCGCCTCTGACCCCAACCGTGAGAGCAGTGGTCACATTGCAAGGGCAACTTGCCGTTGTCTTCTCACCTTCCCTCCTCACATGGAGCCAATTAATTCACTCTCCCAGGAGAAAAGCCATTCCCCTTCTCTCCTCACTGCTCCCATGGATGTCATGTCACAGCTGAGGGCAGATGTCCGTGGCCAGCTCTGTGCTGGGGTAATGAGGGCTCCCGGGAGGTGGTTCTCCAGGGCTCCTTGTGCACTCAGGCCACTTCCAGAACAACCAGTCCCTGCAGAAAACAGCCTTGCTAGCATGTTCTCAAGAGGTTTGGCAAGAATTTCATGGCCCCACTGCTTGCCTTCCCCCAGCATCTCTTAGCAAGCGAGTGGTGCTCCTGAGCTCCCCAGCTAGTCCCAGGCCAGCCCTGTCATGTCCATTGCCCGGCATGGATTTCACAGCTCTGCTGCTCCTCTTGTTGCTGGGCAGGGGCAGAACCCACCACCTCCGAATTCACTGTCATCATGCACGGCCCCAAGCTGAAGACCATTGAGGGCATTGTGATGGCTGCTGACAGCGCCCGCTCCTTCTCGCCCCTGGAGAAGTTTGGGCAGAACTTCTTGGAGAAGCTGATAGGAATAGAGGTGCCCCACAAACTGCTGGAGCGAGTCACCTTCGTGGACACGCCGGGCATCATTGAAAACCGCAAGCAGCAAGAACGAGGTAGGGGTTTACTGTGTTCATCTAAGGGACTCCAGAAAACATGTCATAAAGATGTGAGATGAGAAAGATGGCTGAAGCACAATGGGGAAGAGCCCTAGGCTACACAAGGGGTCTTGTGTTGGAGGGTATGATGGCGTTTGTCTGCCCATGGCTATGGCATCAAGCAGCTGGGGCTGACTGTCATCAGCTAGAGCAGCCATTTCTGCTGCTTGGAGGTGTGACAGCGAGGCGTTTCGGCAAGGTGTTTCCTGGGGACTGCTCAGGCTGTTGATTGTCTGCCTTGGCTTAGCATTTAATGCCCCATTTGTTGCCCTTGGAGCCAGGCTTTGCCAATGACTGGTGCTACAGCAGGGCCCTGAGAAGCACCATCCCCACAGCACCTGGGATGCCAGGACAGATCAGCAGGGCTTCTTGACCCACTTGGTGCCCACTGGGGAAAGCAATGATGTGGCCGATATCTGCTCACAGGAGAAGCGGGAATCTGTGGCCAGCAGCAGGGAGAAAGGAGGTCTGGAGGTGAGGTTGAGGGAGACATGCAGGCCCAGGCACACAGGGATGGATTTTCATGCCAAGAAATTCTGAAGTATTTTCAGCACATGAGAAACAGGTTCTGGGCTGCATGGGAAGTCCGCTGTGTCTCATAGCCTGTCCAACCCAGACAGGGTGTGAGACACAGCAGGCTCAAGGTTTATCTATGCCTTGACCTAAAGGGACTCATCCTGTGTGGGCCATTTCTGCTGGATTTCTCTTTCCTCTCCTCAAGGTTACCCGTTCAATGACGTATGCCAGTGGTTCATTGACAGAGCTGATCTCATCTTTGTTGTCTTTGACCCTACGAAGCTGGATGTGGGCTTGGAGCTCGAGATGCTGTTTCGCCAGCTGAAGGGCCGTGAGTCTCAGATCCGAATCATCTTGAACAAAGCTGACAGCCTGGCTACCCAGGAGCTCATGAGAGTCTACGGTGCCTTATTCTGGAGTCTGGCTCCTCTCATCAATGTCACGGAGCCACCCAGGGTGTACGTTAGCTCTTTCTGGCCCCAAGAGTACCATCCAGATACCCACAAAGACCTGTTCCTCAAAGAAGAGATATCACTCTTGGAAGATCTCAACCAGGTGATTGAGAACAGGATGGAAAATAAGATCGCCTTCATACGCCAGCACGCCATCCGGGTGCGCATTCACGCCCTTTTGGTCGATCGTTATCTACAGACCTACAAGGACAAAATGACCTTCTTTAGCGATGGAGAACTGGTGTTCAGGGACATTGTGGAAGATCCTGACAAGTTCTTTATCTTTAAGTCCATTCTGGCAAAGACCAATGTCAGCAAATTTGATCTCCCCAACCGCGAGGCTTACAAGGACTTCTTTGGTATCAACCCCATCACCAGTTTTAAGCTGCTGTCTCAGCAGTGTTCCTACATGGGAGGGTGTTTCCTAGAGAAGATTGAGAAGGCCATCACTCGTGAGCTTCCCGATCTCTTGGGAAGCATTGGCTTGGGGAAGAAGCCCAACATTCTCTCCTGCGACATCACTGGTTGTGGTGAAACCCCAAAGAATCGCTACAGGAAACCCTAAGGTGTTCTGTAATATAACCGTCCATGTGTTCCTACCGGTGAATGAGCTTGTGTCTTATCTGTCCAAGAAGCCATGGTTTGTTAACCGTTTGAGTGCCACACTGGCAAAGGCTACTGTACGATGAGGACTTTGAGTCATTGACATCGATGGCAGGGGAGGATGGGTGGGCATAAGAAAGAGAATAAAAACTGTGAATTCCTGACATTTTATCTTTGTTCTTTTGAGTAGAAGGCAATGTTTAAGCTGTAAGTATGAGCAATGCACGGTGAGCTAGAACTGTAGCTGCTTTTTCTTTCTGAGACTTTTAGGTCGCCCAGCGAGTTCTCCTTTTGCATAACAGCTGAGTTGAACTCCTGCAGCCTTCACCTGGATGTTCGCCTTAAGAAGGGGCTTTTGCAGGGGCATTTGTGGCTCCAGACAGGTAGCTGTGATGGGATTTGCAAGTTCATGTCAGAGGAAGAAGTGGGCTGGAAAGGAGCTGCCAGCACTGGCTGAGCTGTGCTGGAGGAGGAGGGCCAGCACCCCAAATCACACAGTCCTGCAAGGAGCTGTGAGCAGGTTTTCCTCCCACTGGGCCAGCACAGGGACAGGGCACTTGGTGCTTGTGTGTGCCATCAACCTCAAAAACCCATGCTGGCAAGTCAAGCCTGAGGATCAGCTGGGCTCCGAGGGTTAAGGGTTTGGCAGTTTGACCTTGTTCAAGTCCATGTTGTTGTTTTCTCAGAGTCAGACCCCTGTGCTTTTGTCCTCTGTGGAGCAAGGCAGGAACAAGGGGGTCACTAGCTGCATCCTTTTTACCCATCTGCTGATCTGTTCTCCCTAGGACAACCCAGGCAGGTTTCTCTCGCTTGTTTGCCAAACTTCCCCCATTTTAGCCATGATTTTGTTGGCTCATCTCTGTGCATTGGCACTCAGTCCTGGAAGGAGAAGGAGTATTGCTTCGGAAGCACCTGAGCAGGGTGAAGCTCGCCACAGACAGCTGACCTTGGAACCTGGCAGTGAAAGCCAGGGGATTAGGGGTGGCCTCGTCACTTGGCCCTCACGGCCAGCATGGCTGCCGAGCCAAACACAAACCAACCAAGAAGCAGATGTTGCCCTGGATGTAGACTGGTGCCCTTGAGCCCACCAATGAACTGCTGAACGTCCTTTCTCCTTCCTCCTGCGAAACGACCACAGCTAGCGCTGCTCTCCAGGAAACCTCTGGAGCAGAGGGACTTATCTTTCACAGGAACAAGAAGACATGGAGGTGCCAGGTGACACAAGAAAAAGGCAAAAGGAATGAAAGAGGGACAGAGAAAGCTGGGAACAAAAGGCTCTGTTGTGATGGGAAGGGTGTGAAGGGCAGCACCCCTTGTCTCCACGTGCCCATCGGGATGTGGGCTAAGGCAGAAGTTCTGTGGGAGCTCCATGTCCCCTGGCACTGAGGCGAGGTGCTGCAAAGAAAAGGTGTCCTCGAATCCAGGTGAGTTTGGGGGAATGCCACCCCAGGGACTTCCATGCTCCTTGCCTCTACTTTGAGGTAGGATGCTACATTTGAACTAATGCAGACAAGACCCAAATCTACGTCCAAGCACATGGGAAGGGGCATGGCTCATGCAGAGGGATTTTGCCCACAGCGCAGAGGGGACCGGTGGCGTGAGTGAAAGCAAGCAGAGTGTCAGAGACAGCAGCAGCCAGAACAGCCCGGAGAGAAGTGATGTGTTTGTCAGTGCCATGAGGTCTCAAACATGCCCCAGAGCTGCTGCCCTGCTCCACTGCTGTTCCTTCTTCTTTCTTGTACATGATCCCATTGCTCATCGGTGTCCCTCTCTGTCTCACCTACTCTTCCTCGCCTCTCACTCTCCTCCGCCAGGCTAGTCTGCATGGTTCTTAAGAGCTAATGGAGTAGAAACACCAACAGAAATGGGCTAATACTGTCACTGTTCCTGCTGTCACACTGTGTGTCACTGTCACAGCAAGCAAAGGCCACCAAATGTTTCTATTTGCAAGCACCGTATCGCACCATGTCTTTCCTTGCTGCCCTGTCCCCACAAAGCCTGTGGGCTCTGGGGTAGCCAGGGAAAGGCCCCCCATCCCAGAAAGGAGCTCTGACTCTCACTTATGGCCTTGAACCCAAAGGCACTGTCACTCTGCTCTCAGGCTGCTTCCATCATTCTCCCCATCCCTTCTCTGTTTCCCTTTTCTTTTGCTTTATTCTCCAGCATTCATTGCCTCCTCTTCTCCCTTTCTCTTCCCTCTTTCTTTTCCCCTCTTTCTGTGCATTTTCACACCCTGTGCAAAGCCCTGGTGCCTGTGTTCTGGACGGGGCTCTGTGACAGCCGAAACCTTTTTTCCTCCCCCGATATTGTACGTTAGGGTTCTCTTTCCAAAGTGATGGCAGTGGTGGTCTGAAGCTGGGGCTGTTTTCTGCTGCCTGTGGCACACGCTGACTCGGCTCCATGCTGGCTCAGGGAGATGCTGACACGGAGATGCTTTCTCTCCCATGGCTCCAAGCGGCTGTCAGTCCCAAGAGGACTGTGGTCCCTACCCCAGGTCTCTCCAAGCTTTCTTAGGAGACCTCTGGGAATCTGGGGGTGGAAATGGGGAGCAGGGTGACCTTTCATTTTGCCAAGAAACCCCAAGTCCCCGCAGCCACAGCACTGGGGGGGTGAGCATCTTGCCGGAGAGCATCGCAGGAAGGAGGGAGCTGGGACACAGGCCCATGTAGATGCCCGTGATGGAGTGCATTGGGATAAAACTGTCAGCTTGAACACCAGCCTGTCTAATAAAACCTGGTATTTTCCAAACAGACTCCCTGGAGTTGCTTGTTTTGTTTCTCATGCTGGTACAGTGTGAGTGCCGGGGCGGGGGTGGCCAGGGGGTGCAGCTGCAAGGAGCGAAGCAGGAGCTCCCGTCTCCTTCCCCTCACCCTGGCCTTGTACCCATCCCTCACGTGGGACCTGCTGGCCACACCTGAGCTGTTTGGTTGCTTTTTCCAACCTGGCTTCCTATGAGGTAGGCACAAACCAGCAAAGCAAACCCCAGCTCCTTTGCTTTGCACTTCAGGGCAGCACGATCCTCCCTGGTGGGACAGATCCTTGCTCCCACCCACACCAGGAGATGCCTTTTAAACCCTCTTTGTGTGTGGTCCCCCTCTGCCTCCTGCCCTCGCAGAGGTCCA